TTTTTTTAAGGAAACATTCCTTTTTTCGGGAGATTTTTTAAGGGTTTTTTCCATCGCCAAATTTTTTTAGGAATCAGTAGCTTTTTTTTCAGGAGACGAAACAGGAGAAACGTTTTTTTTTTTTTCTTCGGCAAACTTCAGTAGACTAATAGGTAATGCGACGTTGATCAAGACAATTGGAAAAGTTGTCAGCTTTAAAGCCAAAAAACCCGATTATGACTCATCAGCAATTTCCAGGAGTTTTTCAGGACTTAAGAAAGTCCACTAAATTCCTCCGTAGTACTTGGAAACAAAGTTCAACTTGGCAATGCTAACTTCTATTCACGCCGAACCTCAAATCAAAATTAGCTTGCTTTTTCAAGCGATACGGAAGAACCGAGACCTATGAGGGGAAGGCGGGGGAGGGGGGTTGTCGTGTAAGGATGGTAAGCGCGAGATCCAAGGCACAGAGGGGGAGAGGGGACAGTTCGATGAGTTGAATGGGGACGTGGCGTGGCCCCGTAGAAGAAAGGGGAGAAAGGAGAGGGGGATGATGGGCGGAAAGGAGGAGGAACCGTGTTGCTGGTTTTAACAGTAGATTCAAAAACAACCCTCACCGGCTTTCTTCGCCTTCCAACATCTTTCTGTAGATCGCAATCTCGGCATCCAACATTTGTTTCGTGTCAAGCAATGCTTGTAGTTCGGCCACCAGTGTCTGGCATTCCTCACGCATACGACGCAATGTTGCATCGCGGTCGTTTAAAGCTGCTTCGTATTGTCTCTGATCGTCGTTGAGCTAAAAAAAATCTCGTAATTTTTTTCTTTTTTTTTTAATTTTCTTACTTTTTTAAAAATTTTCTTTTTCCTAAATTTTAGTAAACGGATACATTTGCGAAATTAGCTGTAAAATGACAGATTTTGAGTCGATCTGAAAAACGTCACTTATTTAAAATACTTAAGGATACCCAGCTTCTTCTTAGAGATTTGTCCTGTTATTTTGGCAGTTCACTGATACCAAAGATCTTAAATCCCATAGAGTCAAGTCATTTTCCGTTTGGGGGATAAGCAGTGGTTCAAAAAGAGATTTAATGCCGAATGGCCATTGTTGATAAGGGTTATCAATGAGACTATATTTGTACCTATAAAGCTCAGGCTCCTAGAATTTGACTGCAAAATGAATCAGAAGAAAAGGTGCATAATCCCACTCCTCTATTTAAATAAATAAATCAAAAATTTAAGTCGAACAGAGCCGCCGAAAGTCCGGTTTTCCGCAAACGTATCAAACATAAATCTCATTTGACAGATTGTATTTTTACCTGATAATTCAAATTCTGCACTTCTTTCTCAAGAAGCGCATTTTTAGCCTCAAGGTCACCGAGTTTACCACGAAGGTCACCAATATTGTCGCGCATTCGTTTCACCTCTTCACGCTGATAGTTCGATTCAATATTGGCACGATTTGCGGTACCCTGCACCTCTGATACCTGCAATTTTTGGAAACTGTAAAAATTCCTAAAAACATGAATGAAAAAACCGAAAAATTTTCTAAAAACATGGGTGGAAAATCGAAAAAATCTCGAATTTCTCAGATGTAAAATCGAATTTCT